TCCACCTCCATATCAAAACCCTCTTGCCTATATAATCATCTTCCCTCCTCATCACGTGCCCATACCACTGTAATCTTCTCTCCTGAACTTTCTTCGATATTTCCACCACTTTAGTTGTTCCTCGAATCCTCTCGTTTCTAATCCTATCAAGCCTCGTCACTCCGAGGCTACATTCAAATGAACTGTCATTTTTGGTTTTGGCAGGATTTTTACGGCCGGATGCCCTTCCTGACGCCAACCATCCCCATTTATCCGGGCTTTGGACCGGCACCGAGTTGTGCTGGCTTGCACCCCCAGTGGCTGGGTTAAGCTAGTATCTTCACTAATATATTTATTTTAATAATCAACTAATGTATTTTACATATCGTAAGCTTTTTATTTCCTTGCCAGACCTTGAGATTACATATCACATGGCTACCATTTTAGCATTTACCTTACATAATCATACATTAACTTAGTATACATACGTCACCGCAAAGGGAGAATCGTGTCGGCTTATTAATGTAACAAAGACCCCTTTAAAAATTAATATACACTTGGAGTAAGGCGAATTAGGGCTTTAAAGGCAAGTGAAAATATAACTGAATTAAACGACAGAAGAAAAATACAAAAACAATAAACAAAACTGTAACTAAAAAAAATAACAAAGTGCTATCTCACAAGTTTAAAGAAGTAGGCTTAGAAGCTAAATTCAAATAAGATTAAAGATGAAGTCATGGAAGAAGCCATAGATCATATAGGGTTAAAGATGTGGTCAAGAAAGAAACCGTAGATAATGTAAGGTTAAGTATGCGATCAGGAAAGAAACCTTAGATAAGATAAAGTTAAGGATGTGGTTATGGAAGAAATCTTAGATAAGAAAATAATATAAAGAAACTAGGCTAATTTTTTTAGCATCTTAGATATTTTAACTCGGAGTAATGGAACGTGATATTGAATGAGCTCTGGTAGTTCGCGAAAAGCGCCACCTTTAATGATTTACAGCAAATAAAATGTTATTGGTATATTTCATGGTATTTACATTACTAGAACAGTATTTGGTCGGTTGTGGATTCATAACTAATAAGAATAAAATTTCAAATTTAAATCAAAATGTCTAGTATAGCTTAAAACTGAAGTTGTCTTAAAGTTAGTTGAAACATTTTTTACTGTAAGCGAGTCTAAAACGCTCTCAGTTAGAAACCAGCATTGGTATTTTTTTTTTTTTTGTTGTTGTTGTTGTTGAATTTCTTGTAGAACTATTCAGACCTAACTTTGCTAGCCCTCCCTAATTTAAGAGTGATAGACGAGAGGGAAGGCAACTAGTCAACACTACCCACTACCATCTTTCGGGCTACTATTTACCTTGAAAAGTGTGAGTGACCGTCACATTATAACACTCCCATAGTTAATTCTCTGACGCAACTTCCATGAAGATGTAGCTCTTGTCTGGACTCATTAAAAAAATATGAACAAAACAATGATTAAGTTGAAATGCCAGAAACTAATATATATAACACAACAAATCCTTAACTTCCTTACTCAACCGTCATGGATTTAGTGAAAATATTAACAAAACAATGATTAAGTTGAAATGCCAGAACCTAATATATAACACAACAAATCCTTAACTTCCTTACTCAACCGTCATGGATTTAGTGAAAATATTAACAAAACAATGATTAATTTGAAATGCTAGAACCTAATATATATAACACAACAAATCCTTAACTTCCTTACTCAACCGTCAGATTTAGTGAAAATATTAACAAAACAATGATTAAGCTGAAATTTCGAGTCACGTTTATACACTAAAACGTTTAACTTTACAGGTCAATGAAAATGTTTTAACATCTTAATTAACGTTCCTTAAGAGTCATTCAAACTTACACTGACATTGCTGTAAATACAACTTTATTTTACAAACGATCAAAATTAGTGACAACGGTTCAGATTTTTTAACCTTTCTCTCGTCTGGCTGATAAAAATCTTAAAACATGAATAATTTATTAGTAGGTTAGACAATTATAAACATTGTACATTTACAGTCAGAATGTCTATATGTATTATGGAAAGGTGAAACTATGGAAACAACGAAACTTTTCCTTTCAATGCTTAAGCTTTTCACTGTTAAGGTAGTCTTATATATATGGAAAAGGTGCTTGACTAGCAGCCTTTGGTTCGAGAGTTCGGATTTTGTCGCCTAATATGTTAGGTGCTTGACTCGCAATCGTTGGTTCGAGAGTTCGGATATCGTCACCTAATATGTTAGGGGCTTGACTCGCAACCTTTGGTTCGAGTGTTCCGATATCGTCACCTAATATGTTAGGGGCTTGACTCGCAATCTTTGGTTCGAGTGTTCCGATATCGTCACCTAATATGTTAGGTGCTTGACTCGCAATCTTTGGTTCGAGTGTTCCGATATCGTCACCTAATATGTTAGGTGCTTGACTCGCAACCTTTGGTTCGAGTGTTCCGATATCGTCACCTAATATGTTTGCCTCTTTTATGGAACTTATTTAATGTTGTTTTATTTCTTTAGATTCCGAGAAGGGTTCAAGAATGTGTTTATGCTGTGTTTTTGCCGACGACATAAACATGCTATGAAACTCTACAAACAGCGACACCAAGTGGCTGCACGCAACAGCTTCGTAGATCCATACGCTTACAATGGGGACATTAATCTTTCTTTGCACACCGTTACGCAGACGCTAAGTCGAAGAGAAAACGCCACCACTCCTTTTCTTCAGCCAACATATGGGTCAGAAGAACAAGACTTTGAACTGCTAACTAGGTTCAACAGCCGACGAAAGAAGAAGCATAATAATAGCTTAGAGAATGTTCAGTAGGGTGTTTTAAAGCTTCTCCCGGTTTGTGTTCCATGAAAATTAAGTTCTACCCAGTCTTCGAACACTTTCCAAAAATGTAGTTGCAACTATCAGTGGTTAATGTAAAGTTATAATATTAAGTCGTAAGTAACTAAAGAATGATACAGCCCCCACCCCTGCGATGGCTCAGCGGTGAGTTTGTGGACTTATAACGCTAAACATCGAGTTTCGATACCTTCGGAGGGCAGAGCACAAATAGTCCATTATTGTAGCTTTGTGCTTAACAAACAAAACAATGTTATACACAGTCTTGGATGTATGTTTAGATTATTTGTTAAATAGTTAAAGCTCCAAAAAATAAAGTTTATCTATTTCTCTATGTTAGACCAGTGTCGAAGCGGGAGATTTAATTCAGGTCAATAGTGAGGTTAATAGTGTTTTTAGCTAGTTTTTATTTAGCCTTAACATACAAAGTTCATTTCAAGCTTACTTACTTAAATAGTAAAATAAAAGAAATAACAAATTTTGAGGAAAAATTCGACCTTAATAATATGCTTTTAAACAGGCTTAGGTGTAGGCAGGAGCTCTACTTAATCTCATGCAGTACTTAGAAAAAAAATATATTAAACAAAAATTAAACTTTCATTATTGGACCAGTTATCAATATTACTAGTGGTTGTATATTAGGTTTATGACCATATTTATAGATTCTTTGTACCCATGCTTAAAATGAGTATATGATAAGTAATATAACTCTTTTAGCACTAGAAATTTCAAGTGTGAGTATAAATAAAGTCTGCAGTAATTCATAAAAAACACTCCACAGAATACACCCAGTCTGACTACAGGAAACAGTTATCTAATTAAGTGTTATATAAATACGAATAACTGAAATTTCAAGTGTGAGTATAAATAAAGTCTGCAGTAATTCATAAAAAACTCCACAGAATACACCCAGTCTGACTACAGGAAACAGTTATCTAATTAAGTGTTATATAAATACGAATAACTGAAATTGAAAGTGTGAGTATAAATAAAGTCTGCAGTAATTCATAAAAAACACTCCACGGAATACACCCAGTCTGACTACAGGAAACAGTTATCTAATTAAGTGTTATATAAATACGAATAACTGAAATTTAAAGTGTCGCATTTAAAAAAATAAGAACATAGGTCGTAAGGCAGAGTATCAAGATCAAGGAGTATTTGTACTTACTATTCACTTAGTAAGCAGTTATAATGCTATAAATTACATCAGGTGATCAAATCAGCACTCTCTACGATGATAGAAGCTAGAATGAAAACCAAAATGGAGATGACATTTATGAGATTCTAACCTAAAAAAGAAAAACTTGTGTATTTCCTATCTTTATCATTCTTTATCATTTTCTGTTGGCTATGGACAGATTTCCCCGTTTTTTTAGGCTAGAATCTCACATTTTATATCTCTGTTCTAGTTTATGTATATACATCTTTCACGAAAGGATAGTCTGGTGATGTTCAAAGACAATAACAAGTTATTTTATTACGCTATTTTTGAACAATGTTTCCTTCCTCAGAGTTTGTTTGTTTGTAATTAAGCACAAAGCCACACAATGAGCCATCTGTGCTCTGCCCACCACGGGTATCGAAACCCGGATTCTAGCGTTGTAAGTACGCAGACATACCGCTGTGCCACGGTGGGGGGCCCTTCCTCAGAGACAGACACTAAACGAACAAAACAAAGTATTGAACGTTATATAGAATACATCCATCTACTTTTTAAAGCTTCCATATGAAAATGTGTTTCCTTTAGTAAGGTGTCTCGTAATGACGAACTGCTTCAATATTATATAGAAGTACTTAAATAAGTATGTGGTCAGCTAGATAATATGCACGTGATTTTTGACGTTTAATTCTTCCATATTTGTTCACATATACTTGTAATATCCGTTGCTTCTTCCTTCCCCTACATAACACGTGACTCAGTTTTCCCTGCAATATTTCGTGACAAAGCAATTAAGTGAGGAGAGAAAATGTTTATATTTTAAAATAATCTAGCAAATGTTAGGCTGAATAGGACACGTGAAAGTGCAAAACCTGTTTCTATAATAAACACGTGTTCCGTAACGGGAGATCTTAACTTCACATTAGATTACTTGGTTCTTTATTACCTTACTATGTTTGTATTTGTATGTATGATTTAGTAGAATTCTACTGTTATTGTAAAATGTCAATCATATCTAAACAGATTGGTTAATGTAAGAAACATCAGCTTCATTAGCTGTAGATGTCTAAGAAACTACAAGTAAACATATAAGATAACCATGACGATGTACAAGCGTCTTAATGTTAAAACAAATAATTCGTACATTTATACAGAGTAATTCAGAAGTGCGTTTACAGGTAAATATTTCATACATAGAGAGGTATAGGAAAAGAACTGTTAGTATATGAAATGAGGTTTCGTGACAATGTCATTGAGGTCATTCGAGATCATAACACAGATTATTACATAATTCTAGGTTTGCTTGCAAAATCATAATTTAAATAATCAGGTTGTGGTCTTTTTAAAGGATTCAAAAGGTTTAAAATATTGAAATAAAAGCTCCTTACATAAGAAAGCACACAAAAAGTATGCCGCAACTGCTCCCAAATCATCTAATTAACAGTAAGGTAATCAGTTAAAGAACATTTTAACACAGTCTTACTGTTTGTAGAGTGTCACCACTGTTGTTATCTTGTATGCTGAATGGTTCTTATGTGAGTGTCATTCTTCACATCAGATGACGAGAAATGTGCGTCAGCGGCTGCGGACTACAGACTCATTTACATGGAGAACAGCAACCAATACTGACAATGAAACCACCATATTCAAATATGTATCATTTGAGCAGCACTTTGAACGCATCTCCCAATAATTGTTTCCCTTCATTTCGTAATATTGTTAGGATTTTGGCCTCATCTGCGTTTATGCCTGTAACTGTTGATGTAGTTGAGGAACGATTTCGCCAGTTTGTCGTTTAAAATGTTTCTTTCGTGATTATCTGGACCTTTGTAGTTGACTTTAGTAAATGTTTTGAAGGACATGACCTCGGAGCTAACATTGAATGATATCATTGATCATATCAAAGGATAGGTCCACAGCACCTCATTCCATATCACCAACAATTATTCTTATACAGTTATCCATACCTGAATTATTTTCCTGGCAATGGACTTCTGAATTACCCGGTACATATAGACTGGTGTGAAATTACCTGAAGTATACGTATATGTTTATAAGTATAAGCATTTTACATAAGTGCATAAAACAGTATCATTGTAACAATATTAATAGCGTGTGTTCGAGAACGTGTATAATTTAGTATCATCTAAAATAAGTTTCATCTTATGCGTAGCATTAATGTTAAAAATCAGTCTTCTTCTACTACTCATAGTTCAGCTTCTAACTTTTTATTACACTTGAATATTTCAAGCTAAAATAAGTTTCATCTTATGCGTAGCATTAATGTTAAAAATCAGTCTTCTTCTTCTTCTACTACTCATAGTTCAGCTTCTAACTTTTTATTACACTTGAATATTTCAAACTTATATACTTTAGTTTATACGGCGATGATATCTTTAAAATAATTCTGCAGTTTTCTTGTTAATCAGAGTAAGAATGTGTATCAAACAAGGGTCCGCATGACTACAGTATTCACCTGTGTGTTTGCTTTTTTTTCTGTTTAGATTTGGTTGATTTACAGTTGCTAACCAAAGTCAGCTTTTGTTGTAAATATATCAAGATATAGTAAAAATGTTGTCCAAGTTTACTTTCGTTTTATGGGATGGCCAATCGTGTCCAAGTGGCTAGCGTTTTGGGCTGTGGATCTACGGATACATGTTCGCGTCTAGTTACCGAAAACAAAAACGAAAAAAAAGAAAAAACGTCGTACATTATAAGACAGACAAGAATAACAGAAGAGTTGGCGGTGGGTGCTGTTGACTAGCTGCCTTCTCTCGTCTATTCTAGCAATTCAAAATTGGAGACGGCTAGCGAAGACATCCCTTAAGTAGCTTTGTGTGAATATCCGAATGATACACATACGTGCGCATATTTCTTACATCTGTTTGTAGAAAGATATGGGTGTTAAATTTGGAAAATAATAGAGAAACGAATTTCTTGTAAAACTTAGCCAAAATCTGTAGAAGTTTTTGTGTATAAACAAACAACTGGAACTGAAGAAGCAATCTTCTGAAACTTCTTGTCCACGCTCCTGTGTAGATTGTTGTAATGTTATTTATAATTTTATGAAAATTTCTTATAACGTCAAGTAAAACCATAAATCAGAAACTTCAAGCCAATCACGTCACATTTCATATCAGATATTTGTAATACTATGATTAAATAATACTTTTATTTCTTTTCTACATAAAAGCCCTTTTGTTTTGCGTGTGAGAACAATTTAGAACACACAACAAAAAAAAAGAGTTTAATTAATTAAATACTTTATGATCTTTCAAAATCAGATCAGAAAATGGAAACTTCCACGGGATGTTAGCTTCTAAAGGCCAGCAAATTGATGTTGATCTTTTAATGAAATATACAGGGACTGTGTATGTTTATAACAAACGTTAAAGGAGTATTATTTACTTACCAACATTGAAATTGATCAAATTATACTTTATCTCGAATATTCTCCCAGTTTCTGCGAAGGTTAATATGTCTTGCTCCTGGTTAGTCTTTTATATATAGCTATAATGGCTAACCGCTTTCTTAAGTTAGACGAAATAAAACGATCATCAAAATAATATTTAGGATCCAAAGATTGGATAGCTGATAAACCAAATGTCCAAATTCGACTCCTAGATTTCAAGTTACCTTTAAAAACAAGCATATAAAATATCAAAGTATTTTAGAAATTTGTAAAAAAATAATTTTCTTTATAATTGGTATTAAATGAAATTATTTCTTTGTGTACTTTTATGCAAATATTTTTGATAAAAGTCAAAACAAACATATAGAGGACGTTTTACTCCTTCACGCTCAGAATACAGAG